CCTTGTGACTGAAATACTGAAAAGTAACAAAAAAACAAAAACAAAAACAAAAAAACCCAAAACCTGGAAAAAAACATTCAACTAGCATAATGTGTTGAGAACTGACACTGTATTTTAAGAGGTAAGAACAGTAACCCATTGACAGATGTTTACTTATAAAACTTTCCAGAAAACTCATCTAACTTGATTATCCTATATTTGTGTGCTACAGCTTAATTTCATATTGTAAAGTTCTTAAAAACATTTTATAAGCCACAGTTCTTATTTTCCAAGATTTACTAGTGGTGTTATTTGTAAGTTGAAAGCAAAAAAACTGCATTTCTACTAAATGAAATCAAACACCATCTTATTTCCAAGAGCCCCAATGCATGTTGTATTTTATTTTTACAAACTCATAATTTCTAAGATCAAATCCTTTTTTATAATCTTGAACCCGCAGATCAGTTTTAACATTTGGATACTACAAATATTTTTAATGCTGGCCTTCTTAAAATCCTATATGCTTTAAATACTTACTTTTTTGAACAGTTTAATATCTGCACATTGTTTTCACTACTTAGCCTACCTAGAATGAATACTGATCAAGTATGTTGGAAGTAGCTGATAAACTCCAGGTTTTGGCACTTTGGCAATAAGCCCTATATCCTTACACATTTGTTCCTAGGCATCTTCCCTGTCAAATAAAACTCTTAACAATAGTGTCTGGGTATTACAAAATTCCTGAGTGTTCTCATCCTCCATTGTCTGTGTGAAGTGATCCAACTTAATTTCCAAAATTTGTTTTTCACTTTTTTTTCTGCCCTATAGACAATTTTGGTGATGGACATTAATGTAAACCCTCTGAACTGAACAGATTTTGCTTCCTGAATAGGTTCAACGGTCTAAAGCAAAGCCATTTGGGGTTCTTTTGACTTGTTAGAAATCAGAAATTAACTTTTTCTATAAAGTCACACACCAATTGGTAGTTATAATGGAGCAACAAGGAAAGTTTACAATATACACTGAGGGAAATAACTACATACTCTTTTCCTATTCATATCTGGAATATGAGTTCTAAACCTAACTAAAAACAAAACCGTTGAAAATCATTCAGTTAGGTATGAATTAGGTTAGGTTAATCTATTAACAGGCTTAACAAAGTTTTATCTGTGTTGATCAAAACTTGGGATGGTAACAGTAAGATATTTTCCAAAGCAAGGCATATCCAAAAATGGATCTTGGCCAGCCATGAATTAACATGTAGGCAAAAGGTTTTTCTGTTTCTACCTTACTAAAAAGGTGACAATTCCAATTTTTTAACCTCTAAACAATCATTTCACTTATCTGGCAATAAGACAAAACTAGGAGGCTCTTGATAGTTCATTTGGACTTTTATTACATACCAGACATATGAACTTATCAGAGATTAGGATGATTATCTGTAGTCTTATTATCATAGGACATGTATTTCCATATCTTCATTTCTGATATTGGAATTCCATTTAAGATTATTTTGGGATTAGTTTGAGGGCAAAGTAAGAGAAGAGCTATGCAGATATTTTTCAGAAGCTAGCAGCAGTTCTGATTAACAGCAACAAAACTGTGCAATATCCACATGCTGCTGGTATTAGTGACATATTTCACACATTTATCATTACTGGATGAATTCCAAAGAAAGAGTGGTCCCCCCCAAACCTTTCATTCTTGTTTTCAGTTTGCTAGGATCCAGTAACTTCTCAAAGGCTTTTATAAAATGCAAGTCCTTGATTATTGAAGATATTTTCTGTGCACCTAGGAACTGCAGACAGTGCAAACATCCTTTTCACATGGATGGAGCATAAGCTTTTGAAGAGTTCCTGAAAACATTGACTCAAATGACTAGTTGCCTCTACCCTATATTCTACTTAGGTTTTTCTCTGGAGAATATGCTATGGCATTCCTGGTCCAAAATTAGCCATAGAAATATTCAACCTTGTTTGCACATGTATCAAAGAGAATTTTATTTTCTTCATGGAAGTCTTTTGTGTTAGGCAAGAAGGAAAATATACTCAACTTCAATTGTGAGGTAGGTAATACATAGGAATGAGAAAAATACAAGTCTCTTAAGATCTTACCTCTGTCCACCTTTTTGGCTTATGTGTTAATACTCTGCAAGTGGCACAAGCTTGGCATGTATAGTTCTGTACACCACTGTGTTTTTGCAAATGCTCTCAAGTTCATCTTATCCAATGCTTTTTAGAAGGAAGTTAACATCCTCATTGAATAGTCAACTCTTGTTTCCTTCTAGAATCCTGGGATTCTCTCAATAATAACTGCTATCACATATTTTGAATATATCACTTCATCTCTTACCTACTAAATTATAATTACAAGGAAGAAACTGTACTTACTTATTTTCAATGGCAATATAACATATGCATTCTATAAATACTTACTGAAAAAATATGTATTATTTACAAGTACTGAAGATTTGTCAAAAAAGAGGCAGAGATCTGTTCAGTTTTGACTTTGTAAAGTTGGAGAAGTTAATTCACTCAAACATCTATTTTGCCCTAAGTTAAAACTAGACTAATTATCTGATTGCCAAGACGAAGAAATCTATTACAAATTACTATTATCCCTATCAGGAAAAAGCTTGATTCAGGGTAGTGCCTGCACAGAATAGGGGTCAACGAAGACACTGAGTTTGAATCTCAATTTTTTAAGCTACAGGGGAATTTTACAGACTATGTAGCCTTTTGATTACCCATCTTGTAAGACTGCCTGGAAAGAAGACATGACCCTGTCATTGGCAAAGCTGAAACCAAGTGGAAAGTAAATATCAGAACAAAACAAATTCCAAGAGACATGGAATCAAAAGATTCTGAAGCCATAAAGGAAGCCAGGGAGAGCACCTGAACCTAGCAAGCTATGGACTTCACGGTCCATTCTTCAAGTCTTGCAGCAAGTCCATGTGACAGAGGCAGCACAGTTGATGGGTAAGTTGATCTTTAATTCTCCTCTACATTCCACAAGATGAGTATCTGAAGTCTGTGGGCTTAAAAGCCCCTACACTGTTCTTTGGTTTTAAAGTATAGTATTCAGTGGTAACTGAAAAAAATAAAGATGTTAACTGCTTTTCTTCATAAGATCCTTTGTCTTTCCCCCACCTCCTAATGAACTTGTGTTTAAAGACATTAAGAATGATTGGGATTAGAAATAAGCTGCCTTGAACTGTTCAGCTCCTAGGCATAGTGAAAAGTTTTACTATTTACCACAAATATTTCAGGTTAAATATTTCTTAAACGTACATTCCATCTACCTCTTCTGACATGCAAACTCAAGAAACGTCTTAAAATAGGTTATGTTAGATTTGTGTTAGCATATTAAAAAAAGCTGACAAAGCTTTGGAAGTCCAGTTGGCAGCAGAGATGTACAAGAGATGGTCACCTACAAAATAGACCCAGAAAGGTGACTTATTCTGAATGAATATGCTGACACAAGAGTCCTATTCTGGGATACCCTGACAATTCTTGATGTTAAACCCAATGTTACCTAATGTTAAACCTAAGGGAGTTCAGAGTAGAATCATAACCTGATTCCTTGTCCAAAGCAAAATATGCTACTTTTAACCACCTACAGATGTGAAAAAAATATAAGTACAGCAATATCCTACAAAAATGCTTTTGTTTTAAAAAGAAAAAAAAAGTAACACAAAATAAGCTTTCTTGATGCTCTCCTACAATTCATTCCAAGTACTTTAAAGTGGTCTTTAAACATTGGTGACTTAGCTGGGCATGGTGGTGCATACTTATAATCACAGCACTCAGGAGGCTGAGGCAGGAGGATCACCTATTCAAGGCTAGATGGAATACAGTAGACCTATTTAAAAAAAAAGTGGGTTCTTCATTAACTTTGTTTCTACTGACAGTTACACAATTGATTTCTAATATTTTCCTTAGTTTTCTTTTTTTATTCTTCTTTTTATCTTATGGTTGAAGAAACAATTCTAATTAGTAAACGATAAGTACTTTTTAATCTAAAATTTAAGTTTCTTTAGCTTTGAAACAGCCAAATAGTAATATTAACCATAAACTTAGAACTGTGTATTGCAAATTTGTATCACATTACTAATATTTCTCTTGCCTATATTAAAATTTACTGAAAGTCTTCCTTCAGTATTAAAACTTAGACACATACAATATAACACAGATTAAGTAGATTTGAGAGCTGTTTATCATCTACAAAGTAACACAAGACATTCCAGTTCAAGTTGACAGGCAGAACATAAGCTCGATTTAAAGTGCTGCATTTAAAAACAAAACACAAATTCAGTTCATTTGGTGCAATTAAAATAAATGTTCCAACTTGAAGACTTGACACTAAAAAAGAATGAAAAACACATATAGGATTATCATTCCACAATTGTTCTAGTTTGATCTTTTCATTCTAAGAATGCTGTCGTTTTCAGATAATGACAGCTAGCTAGCTGGTCACATTCATGCTTACGACATGTGTCCACACTTGATCAGAGGCCTCAGAGATTGCTATGCCCAAATGATTAGGGCCTAAATTTGTTTATGTTAAAGATGAACAATTTACCAGTACCACTTTAGTCACATCTTTCGTTTATTTTCTGCTTAAAGAACTGCATAGGCCTAAGTTTTAAATCATTTTAAACACCTGTAATAAACTACAGAATTTGGCTAAGGAGAAGAGGTACTCCAGTTAATAATCAACTGATGTAACCGAGGAAGAGCAAGCTTATTAAATATGAATGCATCCTTACCACACAAAATTGAATCATTTTTTTCTCATAAAAAAGGCTAGTCGCAATAAAGGTCTCGCTTTTATAACAGATTTATCATTTCCAACTCACAGTGAAAGGACTTAAGAATAATTTACTAATTTTTTTATACTATGTGCCTGTCTTAAAGATACCTTACTACAAACTGGTATCTGACACAACAGAATGACATTGTAGAATGTAATATTGGAGAGACAGTACTGAGTTTGATTGTTACAGACCATTAAAACTCTTTGTGTACTAAATGGTTACACCTTAATTATGTATATAGAACATTGGTCCAATAACAAAAATAGAGAACAACATCTAGAAATTTATCTCATTCAATGTTCAGAGATAAAAAGGCTGATATTCTTTCCATTATTTTCTGTAGGCAAGTCCTTGTTCATACTGAAATCTGATGGCAATTAAATTCTGGTATGTTTTCCAAGTTACTGGATAAAGAGGATGCTGAAGGCCATCACGATACAGCATACTGCAACATAAGGACTCTTTCGTTCACCTGTTGAAAATAAGATGTTCACCTTGATTAAATGAGTGACTAACACGAATTTAAGGTTATTATATCGGAAGAGGGACAGGTAAGAATCAAGATCAAGTTCTTATCTATGAGGTGAATATACAGAACAGGGGCAAACAAGGAACTAGATGCAACATAAAAACAAGTTCAACTAAACTATTCTGATTTATTTCTGAAACCAGCTTCTTTTGATGTACTTAGAAAATCCTGAAAGCACCATTTCTGTGCAACTATATTAAACCCAGATATTAAAAAATACAATGGAGACTGTAGAACAGAGATTTAAGGAAAATGATCTTAAGCAACTCAATTAAAGCCAAACAGTTCATTTTCTTCCTGTAAAAAAAAAAAAAAATCTACCTATACAAAGAAAGCCTAACATAATAATTAGCCATAATTTTTTTCATCACTAGTAGCAATTCAGGGCATTTGCAGAGGAAAAGAAAGCATTCATGCATGGATAAACACAATGGTCAATATAATTAATTTAAAAAATGGACATAAAATACATTTGCAGGAAAATGAATGGAACTAGAGTATCATCTTAAGTGAAGTTAGTCAGGCTCAAAAGGCCAAAAGCTGCATGTTCTCCCTCATATGTGGATTATAGACCTAAAACAAATGCAGTAATATTATTGGACATGGGTCACAGACAAAGGGGAGACTGTGCATGGGAGGAATAGGGAAAGGGAAAGAAAACTAAAACATGAATGTAATTGATATCGTCACTGTATACAAGAGAATACAGTAATCTTAATCTGGCAGAAGCCACTGTGGGAAGGGGACTAGAAAGTAGTGAAGAGGTCTGATAGAGATGAAGCAATTTGGTTTGTAACACACATATGCATGGAAACAACACAAGCAAAAACACTATATTTTTCTTTTTATTTTACATGTTTTTTCTTCAATAAAATCAGAGAACAAGAGGGGGGAGCAGGTTCTGCCCGGAGGCAGGGGTGGGGTAGGGACCAAATAATGTATACGCTTGTAAGTAAATGTAAAAACGGTAAAATAAAATTAAAAAAATGGACATAAAAAATGCTTAACAAAAAAAGTAGAAAAATATTTCTGAGACACATTTTTACCAGATCTGTTATAGGCCAAGTGTCCCTCATCTGAAATGCTTGATATGAGAGGTATTTCAGAGTTTTAAAAAATTTGCCCTCAAATCTGAAACTTTTTAAGCATTGTGTCTATGCTTAAAAAAGGTTTAGATTTCTGAATATCTCAGGTTAGGGGTGCTTGATCTGAGAAATGTAGAACTTAAAACCAACAACTTCTATATGAGGTAATTTTCACATTTGTTAAGGGGTGCTTTCTATCTGTAGACCTTCCTTTGTATAATGTGAACCTGAAGTTGGCTTGTGAAACTAATAAATAAAGATCCTGTGACTGTTAGTTAAACTTATCTTAACCTTTTCTATAGTAAATGCAAGGCTATACTAATTCATAAAACACTAGGTACAAAGAAAGCAAGAAGGAAGAAATCGTGTCTAGAAATAACTTTGAGATACATCTGGTATGCTCCGCTAGAGACAGTTTAAAGTGAGTTCTTTTGTAGTAACTAAGTGTTTTTAACTACCTCTGGAACACATCAATCTTAACTACCATTATTAATTAAAATTCTCAAGTTCATCTTCACTTTTAGAGTTTCTTCATTGATCTCACACTGCCATTGTGTTATTAGGTTTCCGTCACGGCACTATTCATAATAGCCAAATTATGGAATCAGCCCATCAATTGATAAAAGGATAAAGAAAATGTGGTGTATTTACAGAATGGATCTTTATTTGGCCATTAAGAAAAATGAAATTATGCCATGTACTGGAAAATGGATATGATCATGTTAAGTGAAATAACCCAGTCTGCCAAACACAAGTATCACATGTATTTTTTTCTCATTTGTGGAAGCTAAGAGGAAACTAAACAAAATAAAACAAAAAAACTCAAAGTCATGGAAGTAAAAGGGGACTACCGGGAAGGTGGAAAGGGAAAAGAGGAAGGCAAGTGAGGAGATAAGAAAGACTAATGGAGGTAAATATGATCAAAGTACATTTATATGCTTATATGGAAATGTCATGATGAAACCCCTTACCGCATATATATAATTTAATACATACCAACTGAAAAATGGAAGAAAAAAAGTGCAATTTCAGTAAGTATTTCTAACACAAAAAAAAGTTTAAATCTTTTGTGTGCTCAATAACAATCCCAGAAAATATCACATATATTTAAAAAGCAAAAATTTGGTGATTTTCTGAACGTGTTTTTTAGTTCACAGACATTTAATAATGTACTGCATTCTAGAAAATCTAGAAAGTTAGAAATATTTTTATAATACCATCACCTCAACTGGAAAAAAACCCAAAACCCTTTTAAAGCTAAAGAATTATCTGGGTTACAATTTTAAACAATGCTAATTCACACATAAATTTCAGACAAATTTCATAAGCTAGTATTCTACTCTTATTAAGGATAAACAGCCTCATTATTTAGGGTAGCCTTATTAAATACCTAAAGGAAGTAATTAATATTGTCCTAAATTTCCCATCTGCTGAAAATTAATTTTTGAGGAAGTTATTTTCTTCATCTGACCTAGAATGGTATAATTTACATATGGGTTTCATTTTCCTGTTTTTAATTTTCTTAAAAGAGATTGCCATGTGTAGAGCTAAACATCTTAGGTTGAACTTGAATAAGAATGTTACTTCTTGTCTGGTCTTAGGACTGTGTAAGTGAATGTGAAACAGTTGCTGTAATGTGATGTGTAATATGATAAGATGATTTGGCGAGGTTTTTTTCCCATTAAAACTGCATCCTTTCCTTGTGGACAGATTGTGTGTCAAGAAAAAGAGGAGCATGTGCTTGAGAAAGCAGCATATCAACATCAACATTTCTAGGAACACCAACATTTTGCCAAAATATAAAGCTAATGTTTTTATACAATTGGTAAGAACAAATACTTTAACTGAACTATTCAACCTATAGCATTCACACAATCTAGTGAAAAAAAGAGAAATAACAACTGAGCAAACAAAAAAGAAAGGGCACCTTTCAGACATAAAAACAGATCATATTACAGGAAATCATTAAGAAAACTACAAAACAGATGTCTTAAAACTTTTATAGTCTCTTCAAGTAATAATCGTGAACAAAATGGTCACTTGGGTGACCACTGATGGCTACTGAATAAACTGTACACACTTCTCTATTATGTAAAATTGATTTAAAATATCCTAGTATTTTCCAAATGAGTTAGCAACATTAATGACAAAACTGAAATGGAAACTCAGCCTCTTAATACTAGACCTGCTCTGCCATTATTTTTTCTTTCTGCAGTATTCTTACCACTCAATTCCTTGGTAATATTCTTTTCTTTTGTAGGGTGACTTCTCTCTGAAGCAAGCATTTTGGCTGATATATATTTACATTTGCCATTAGCTAGAACTATTAACTATCGAGGGTGCTATTCTGTCTTTCTCTTCTTGGTTCCCTTTGAAGTGTTTAAGATTTCCTCTGTTATTTTAGAGTTTGCAGCTGTTGTACATGACTGAGTGCCAGAGAAGTCTGCACCACACATCTCTGCAAATGTCGGCCAGGCCTTCCGAACTCCAGCATTACTAACATCTTGGTCTGGATAATTACATTGTGAGGGGCTTTTCTGGGCATCCTACGATGTCTAGTGAGATCCCTGACTGTTGTCCACTGTATGTCCCCCACTCTGGTTTTGATAATCCGAACTTTCTAAATGTCCCATGACTAATACAAACTTATCTAGGCTACATCTGTGCTTTTACTAACTTAAGGTCAATGATATTTCTCCAAAAGCTGATTCTTAGGTCTTTCTTTATGAAAGAGAATAAAACATGACAAAGAACACAGAAGGAGGACAACTGAACATGTTAAGATCACACTGCAGTCTCTGGAGAATAATGTCTACTTGAGGGACACTATATTAGAATAAGGGTCTTGAAAAAGATATTTTTCTGTGAAGTCCTTTATACTTGTACTATGGTTTTCTACAAACCTAAAAGGTCATAGAATCTTATAATCTCATCTTCACAGATTTAGAAAGAACTTCTGGATAATTTAGTATTATGCTTACAATTGCCACTGTTAGTGGGATCTTGCCTATCATTAAAAGCTCAACGGAAGAAAAACTGTTCTGAAAATCAGTTTACTGGTTAATAACATAAGACCTTTTACACTAATTCTCAGGTCATCTTTAGAAAATTCTCTAAGTGTTATAAGAATTTAGTTTGTATTGTCCAATATCTAAACAATTTTGTTTCTTGTTATAAACCATCTTCTAAATTTCCTCCATCCCCAAGAAGCTGAAAACAAAATAAAGCAAAATACTCGAAAGGGAACACAGTTTTTCTAATGGAAATGACTCTTTTAATCACCCATTCTATTTAAAGGCCTAGGTTTAGGGCATTCAAGATGTTATTAAACTGGCTACCATTAAAATGCTTGATGTAGAAAGATTTTATGAAAGCCTGACAGCTTTATGAAAGAAAAGGTAGCTATGTGCAAAGTCAAAGTTAGAAGAGTATTAAAAATAAGTTTTGGTCGTGCAAATAGTTCCAAAAAGAACAAGAAATACTCATTTTTCAGCCCAAGTGGTGTAAGACAACACAAATGCCATACTGTGTTGTTTTCTTTTTAATTAGGCATACTTAAAAAGGGGTGTAATCTGTTACTCAAAAAAATGGCAAATTACAGCAATAAAATATATTTTAATTCATTCACTTACCAATCATTGAGTCTACTATGTGATGGGTTCAGTGTTAAATGTTTTATATATTTATATATATGTATACACACAACACACATATATACACATATATGAATGGGATAAGAGTTTCTTATCTATACCTACATACTTTTTGAACTATCTTAAGCTGTTCATTAGATGAGAAAGTTACCGAAACAGCTTTTCATTAGATGAAAAGCAGTTATACAAGAAATAGAACAGCATGTTCCATAGTATGAACATATGCATACAAAACTGTATTATTTGTTTAAAGTCTCTTCAGAACCAGAAACTCATGGCATGTAATACATGAATCAGAGAGTTTTTTGTTTTATTTCCATCTCCCTGTTAATGAAATATTGTGAAAACCTCATCAAATCTAGTTTTACAAAGCAAAGAACTTGGAACTCTGCAAACTTTTACAAAAGTGCAAGTAAACGGGAAGTCTGTACTTTAAAATCTGACGTTTGATTTCTTTGAATAAAAGACATGAATAAATTGGCCAACAATTTATAGCTGAAAAAATGGAGGGAGATTAGATACATACCAATTCTGGCGCACTTCCAAAATATTCCCAATAGTCTGCACAGAATAAAACAGAACAAAAGTGGTTACTGATTACTGGGAATATCAAGTAAAAAATTAACCAAAAACTGGCAATTTAACTTTTAATGCTTTGGTTCATTTCTGAAATCTGCTTGTTTGACAGAGTCACAATATATGTACAAAAATAGGACACAATAGCCTACAAGCCATTAGTGAATAAAAACTGCTATGAGCTGGAATATATGTGTCGTAGGTCAAAACCAGGGTAAGTCAATGTGAGAGTGGCAAAAATTTTCAAAGGTTTTACTATAACTTCAAGTACTTTACCATTTTCAAAAGTAGCAAATTAAAATGCTTATTTGATTAAGTACCAATTTTGAGGAAATGATAAGTGAACACAAGTTTTAAATGAATTTCATCATTAAAGAATGTATTTCTCATAGAAGCAGATCTATATTTAAATTATGTATAATCATGAATTCCAATGATAGTATTTATCTGTGTCATTCAATAAGGAGGAATATAAAAATATATGATTTTAGTTCATAGTTTAGGAGAAACTGGATGAGTTCACTAAGTATGACATTAAAAACACATATTCCAAAACTAAGAATTACAATGAAGATGTTTCTTTCAATTCTATGAATAAACATATTATGAATTAAATACATAAAAGTGGATATTGCATTTATTTGACATGTAAAAAAAGCAAGCTTTGGAAAAAAACTGAACCTTTAATGAACAGAGACATCTGAAAGAAAAAAATACAAACATGGCAGATGTTACTTTGCTGGTCTGACAAGAGACTAGAATTATGTGATGGTACATTTGGTTACAAATTAAGATATATCAACATTATTTGTTGTTTACATTAGGATTGGTTCAACAAAATCACAATACTTAAATTTCAGGGAAGTATACTTTTCTTGTCCTCAAAGAAATGGCTGGCTAATGAATCATTACAACTGGATGGTTACAAGAAAAAGAAAGTACTGGTTCAATTACATTCTAGGTATAGTATTCTGTCAAAGTATAACATCATCCTGACCTCAAAGCAAAAAGCCTCTCAGTTCAGAGTAAATGGAATGGACAAAAATACAAGTTTATTTCAGAGAACAGACATTCTGATAGGTAAAACCTTATTATAGGAATAAAAGGACCACAGCCAAACATATTTGTAAAAATAATACAAGCTAATGTCAAGGCTAGATTGTGGATTAATTCAGTCCAACTTACAGGATGCACACTCGTGAGCAAGCTATTTCATCTTGTTAATAATAGCACCCACTTTTGTAGGTTGTTATGAGGAATAAATGAGTGATTATAGAGAAAGTCCTTGGAATACTGACTAATGTGCTATGTTCAGAAATACAAAGACAACAGGTTAGATATATGCAAAAACATATTGGTTCCTTGATTCTAAAAATCTACTGATCATAATACACACTAAAAATTTAAAGCTACTCTGGTTGAAAGAATGATTTGAAGGACCCAGAACAGAGTATCTGAAGCTCTTCCATGGGAAGCTTAAGAGCTCCACAGATAGAGTCAGTAATCTTAAGATCACAAAATCAAGTTTTTTTTCAGGGCTAATATTCCAGAAGACAGCATCATTAAGAAATTGGTACAACATCATTCTTAACTCACAAATGAATAAAGAATCTTAAATTGGTCTAAGGTGGGGAGGAGGGATAAGAGCAAATGATGGACGGGGTGAATCTAATTAAGATATATTGTAGTACAAATGCAAATGTCTCAATGAATCCCCCACTGTCCAACTAATGTATATTAGTAAACAACAACAAAAATTCTAATTTGGATTTAACTCAGACTTTCAAGTACCACTTTGGCTGTTTCAACATATTACTCTACTTAGATACATTTTTGTAATATCCCAAAATGCTACTTAAAGAAAATAAGCAACCCCATTAGCTGATAAAAACCAATACAATTATGCTGCTTAGTTTCCATGGCTGTATGCCAGTAAGTAAATCTGCTGATAATGCTATTAGGAAAAAGGCAAACTGGCGATCTTTTATTGCTGTTTAGTTCTATATTAAATAAGCAAAAATAAAGTTATTTCAATAGTAAAGTCACAAGCACATTTTATATAATCTATCTTGATATCTCTCACCTGAGCGTGGTAAATGTAATGAAACAAAGAGTTTATTGTGAGCCTCATAAAACATGTAATTGTAATAAATAGGGAAAAGAATTAAAAATTTCTTCCATAGAAAATAATCCCTATGTATAATCAAAATAAAATGGTCCTTAACATTTATAGAAGGAGAAGTGAAGATTTTTCTTTAAAGCTTTCAAACAGTTAACTGTATTAATCTATACTTTAAGATATAACAATATTTGGTCTGTTATGTATGAGAAATATACTACTACTCAACCTCTACTGTAAGGTTGGCAGCCCTGAGAACTCCTTTTGTAATGTAGCATGTTATGGATGTATTCCTACCCCTAGAGTAATGAGGGGTAGACATTTCCACATGCAACTTCCTCTTGAAAGAAAATTTCCTAACTGCATCAGAAGAATACAAATATTCTATTTTACTATTATGTGCTTATTCTTTAATGACACAATTTCCTAAATATTTTATTAGACAGATATAATACCTATGTATTGTATTAGAACCCAAACAACTGATAAATGAGAACAAAGTACTGAAGAATAAATACAATAGTATTTCAGAGAAAAAGATTAATAATGTCTACAAAAGAGGTGGGGCATTGTCATAACTGACAGACAGTGAGTACTTGTTTTCACCTCTAGTGTATTAAACAATACTGCTTTTCTCTTAACAGATTAAATTTCAGATCACTTTTGAAATTTAACTTAATTTAGTAAGATACTATGAATATAGTTTTTGGATTTTTAACAGTAGGGAGAAAATAATGTAAAAAGTTATTACAAACTAAATTACAAATAGTTATCTAATGACTTTTATGGTAATTTACATTCACTGTCTGTAAGAACAGATTTGGGTGATTATAGACATCATTAACAACATACCCAGTTTTATTTCTGTCCAGGAGGCTGGGCGCCAAGGACCGGATATAAGCACATGTACATATAAGCAGCAAGATTACAGTCAACAGACTCTGAAAATTGAAAATGGCAGACTAAAAAGAGAAAAAAAAAAACAAACAACAAATTAATGTCGCAAGAAAAACTACTGAGGCAGAATTGTCAGACAATTCCATATCAAGAATCATGCTTTTGTTTCTTCAAAAAGGCAAACAGAACATGTCCAACAACACTTAAAACCAGAAAAATAAAGTGTTCTAAAGCTGTACTTTCCTGTTCATTATATGGGAGGCAAGAAATGCAACAGGAACTATAAAATTTAAAATCTTGAAATATGTCAAGATTTCAAAATTGCTGACCAAAGCACTGTCAATATGTAGTTAACACAGAGGTCTCTGACTACTTAGTCCAGTAGACTAAGGTCTATTGGAACCTTAGTGGAATCACTGGCTTCTCTAAAGCTCTGTTTTGCATCCTTAAAGCAGGGGTGACTGCAGAGAAGATTAAAATCTGATCAAAGTTCCTTAAAATTTGAACTTTTTGGGGGGATAAATAAGCTGTAAATTTAAGAGAGCATGTCCCATGCTCTGACAGTTATAAGGCTATTAGACAGTGGTAAAAGAAATGGACCTACTTTTTTTTCCACTATTGACTCTTCAGAAGTTTTCTTTTGGCAGTACTGGGGTTTGAATTCAGGGCCTTGCGCTTGCTAGGCAGGTACTCTAATTGAACCACAAGCCTCCCATCCAAATTATTCTCTATTTAGTAGTTCATTTTTAATTCTAAAAGTTAGCACAGAAATCGTAAGAAACCATAACTTTCCTGATCAAGCACAGGAAATTATAGGCTTCAAGTCGCAGTAAAATGGAGGAGGCCTTACTCTGCTTAAAACTCAGCTCCAGTGTCATCTGTTTTAAGAAGTTTCCTTGAATCAACTTTCCTCTTCCCATCTCCTGTTTCCTATCCAACTCTCCATTCTTCTTTTTTTTTTTTTTCTAGAAACAAGGTCTTACTATATAGCCCATACTGCCTTTAAAATTGCAATCCTCCTATTTCAGTCTCATTTCAACTATACCTATATATACATTTCACACAGCAGGCAGCAACATGGGTATTTAGTAAATTTAGAACTGTTTCTTGAAAGGTCAGGAAGAGTAAGAATTATAAAATTTAAAAAAGACTAACTTGTTCCTTGCAAATGAGTGCTTACCTGTAAAGTCCAAGAGTCTAGTGAAAAATGGTTATAGACTTTAAGAAAATTAAGTAAGGTAGCTGGGCATATAACTAAAATATATATGTCAACAGCCTTCACAATTATGTTATCATCTAGTTGAAAGACATAACAGACTCCATTTATGATAGGAAACATAACAAAAAGCTAAAATATGTAAGAATATGTTTAATAAAAAAATGTGCAACATCAGCGTCAACAGAAAAAGTTGATGGAACCTTAAAGCATATAGAAGAATGTAAGACTAGAATTAGAATATACTGACATACCAGGCTCTTATTTTGGAAGGCAACATTACAAAGCTAACTCATAAATTTAAAGTGAACTTACTACCAACAAATATGAATAGTAAGAATAGGCAAGAGAATTTTAAGAAAAGAACTAGCCCTGACAGAAATTAATATTCCTTTTAACTTTTCACATATTTATAATAAATTTATATAAACTACTGGGAAACAGAAAAGAATTACACATCTTATTTGTCAATATTCTTAAGGACTAAAATATTATGCATAATACTATTTGGAGAGGAAAAATAGGACACAAGATTTCATAGGCAGCACATCTTTAGTTATGTAAACCTTTATGCAAAAGTGGGAGAATGCAAAGATTATCTCTGAATAGATTTTACCTCATTCCCTACTTTTCCTGATTTCTCAAAGATTTCCTAAGTGTTACTTTTATGGTCTGAAAAAGATAAAAATGAATTGCAGTTACCATTTTAATACTTTTTTGTTATGCAAAGGACTTCTTCATGAATATACCAAAGGTAAATTTTAGTATGGCTGTTTTTAAATTAAATTGGTTGTTAATTTTTCATCTATGAAAGCAAATGGTAACTACTGATCAATTCTAGATAGAAAACACACACAGTACCTCACAATGCGTGTTTCAAAGGTCATACTATGAAGGTATATATGAATATATTATTAAATAGTATTGGGTAATAACTTCATGAAATCCAAAGCAAAACGCCTCCTAGCCAAAAGACTAAATATGTATTTAGTATATACTATCTGGGAAATGAGTGAGACACTGAGAATTTAAATAGGTACATGGCATGATTCCTTCCTTCATGGAGTTTATAGCTAACAATTACTGAAATTCATTCAGTGCTGTTCCACACTATTTATCCTCATGTCCAAGGCAGGTATTATTATTATCCTTATGTTACCAGATGAGACTATTGAGGCACACAGCGTTATACTGAAGTTAGAAAAAGACTATTTTCAAAACTAAATAGCAAAACATTATAGCATGTACAAATGATGGCTTGAATCATGGGAACAAATACAAGATTTCAAAAGGAAAAGCTTCAAAAACAAAGCAGGAACAGAGTCAAACCACAAAAGGCACAATCTAGTTGGGCTCAGAAAAGACAGAAATGTGGAGAAAATACCCCAGAGAAAAGGAATTTGTATATTTACGGAATAATGAACAGATTTATTTTAATAAGCAAAAGATTCCTGTAATGAAGTAGTTGGAAAAGAAATTTGCAAAGTGGGTTTATCATCTTCCTACTGAATCTAAATTCAAGATTTTGTCACAGCTCTGTTTCTTCCCCTGAATACCTTTTAAATATGCTTAAATGGTATGATGGTTAAGATTGACTTCTCACTATGTGTGTGGTGGGAAGAGAGTAGGGATGACAATGAAATGCTGAGCATATGAAAATTCATCCTTCCCTTCTTTTTATCTTTGTATGTTTGAAGTTTTTCATAATAAAAGATAAAAAGGCACTTAAGAACACACCTATTATTAAAGTGGAGTGTGTATGTATACATTTGCCTGTATGCAACCATTTACAAATGAAAACTTTACAAGCACAAAAATGATATATACAACTTTGTTCTGGGTGTTTGAAGACTAAAATTTAAACAAATAATTTTAGATGGCAAAGTCTTTTAGATGTACTTAGACTCTAGTCAAAAGAGTGTTTCTAAGTTACGGACATTAGCCTGCCACCTATAGCATCCTTTTTAATGCTTAGCATCTGTTGTTCACTAACATAAAATTGTATGCTCAGGGTTAGATGAAACAGATGTTCCTGTTTCAGTAAAAAAATAACTAGGATTTTCAATAAGAAAATGTTACTGAAAAGAAAAGAGAAAACTAAATAAGGAAAGATATATCATAAAATAGATGACAAAGGTGTAAAAGAAGTAAAATTCATTTATCAATTTAATATCCTTTAAATCATGAAATCTTTTGCAAGGTACTGTTTCTGTATGCCAACTGTTCTTGAATGACTTGTGAACTGACACATTCTACCAGTCTCAACTCAAGAGTTACCTCTTCTGTGAAGTCATCCCTGTCTGTACTCTACATTCCAAGAAGCCAGGGTTGTTTATATTTACCTGTTACAGACACACCTTCCTTTGATAGCACCCATCAAACTGTAATTGTCTCCTATTTTATTGAGATTATCAATAATCCTTTGACTATTAGATGAAATAGTATATAGTAGTCACTGGAAAATGGGGAATGAATATGAATATTGTAACAAATCCAAGAGCATTCTCAAGATTCCAAATTGACAATAAGCATTATTTTAAAAAGTACATAAGAGTGCTCAATATAATATTCTATTATTCAAGAGAAACTTCCATATACTGTTGTGAATTTATAATTGTTTGTCAAAAATATTTTGGAAAACCAAATGGAAAGAACTTCCTAATGCTTATATGAAAGACCTACAGGCTTCAAGGTAAAATAAAGGCCTGAGGTAATTTCTACCTAGTATCAATGCCACCCTTGGAACTCAGAAACTCTAATTTTATCAAGGGGCCAGCCTTGAAGATATTCACCCACTGGACAGGATATATTGTTCTGACTTCCTATCTCTTTGACTTTGAAGATCATTCAGACTTTGAAGGTTACTGACAGAAATGCCAAGTAATTCTCAAGTTTAAGGTTTACCTAGTTTTCAGTGGTAATCTAATGCTAATCACCTTCATTTTTTGTGCCATGATTATGACACTAATGTTTTAGGATTACAGACTATTTTCAACTTAAATTGGTTTAACTTAATGTTTTTTTGGCATTAGGATGGAGTGAAAAAAACATGTACTAAGTAGAAACTGCACTTCAAATTTGGATCTTTTCTCTGGTTAGTGATATGGATTATGATACTTATCTCTCCTGATGCTAAGCAGTGGTAGTGAACTGCAGTTCCCAGTCAGCCACTCACTTGTTCACGAAGGTAAACAACTATACATGGTAACACACTATAGTGTACTATGTTGCTGAGCTATGATGTTTGGGTGTATTAAATGCATTTTTGACTTCAATATATGGTATGTTTAGTGTGGACAAAACCACATCAGAAGTGGAGAAGCATCTGTACACAAAATTAAGAACTACATTAACAAAAATACAAGTAAGGTGCTTACATGATAAAGAATAATTCGTAAAAGGTCTCAGATGAAAAAATACACGCTATGCACATTTACTAAAATAAAGTGTAAATATTACCAAGAATAACTTAGTAAGATTACTGAGATATTCAAAGACATGAACAGGAGAGGATATACTTAGATTTATAAAAATGAATTCTATCTCCTAACTTCTTAGTTCTAATGTATATTATTTGATATTGCATAACTGGATGTATTAAACAGGGAAACACACTTTTTTTTTAAAATACTTCCCAGACACTATCTCAGGGTGTGACAAACCTCTGAGATTCCTCAATTAACTCAAAGCTAGCATGAACAAAGCAGTATGTATTTATAGGCAGACCTCAACCACATCATCTGGCATACTCTGAAGTAGCACTTGATTTTATGTTTTAAATATTTTTCTTATACTGGCACTCCGCTGTAGGATTTCTTATTACGGTACTCCCATAGATAGTCCTTAAGG